AAATACCTAATTATTTCTATTTTTTTAACTTGTTCATTTTCAATCATGAATTATTACTAATTAATTATTATCAAATTTAAATTAATATGGTGTTTATACAAGACTAACACATGCCCTATCAACTTTTTAACTTGTTATTTTTAAAGAAGTTATTGTTATTATGAATAGATTATTATCAAAAATTCAAATTGATATTTATTTATACAGGAGTAACACTTGTTTTATCAATTTTTTTAACTTATTCATTTTTCAACATGTTGTTGTTAATTATAAATGAGTTATTGTAAGTTATAATTTTATATTATTTTTATCCTTTTTATTTAGACTTTTTAATATTTATTTAAGGCTAGTTGAGTTTAATTAAATATTATTTAATTTTATTAGTCAATGTTCAACTTTTAAATTTTAACTACCTAGGTCTTAAATTTAAATATAAATAATTTTTTAATTTTTTTTCTCACTCATATTGATATTAGTTTATTTGTGCAAATTTTAGATTTAATTTAAAAGATATTGAAAAAATTATGTTAGATAAAAAAATATGAACACACTTAAATATTAAGTTAAGAAATAAATTTTAGAAACTTATTTATGTTTATTTTGATTTTTTTAATGTAGTTTTTAATTAGATTATTAAAGATAATTTATCCTTTTTATTAAATTATAGGTTTTGAAAGGCAGCAAATGGGCGCCTCACTTTTTAAATTAAAAAGGAACGAACGACAGAGGCGGATGGGTGATAACCCTTCGTCTTTTTTCGTTCATCAATTGCTTTGGGAGATGGCTTCTTATGCTCTTTTTTTATACCTATTTCTGTTTCATTTGTAGAGTTATAGAGAATTAATTTTATTAGTGTGATCAATCATAAATTATATCTTAAATATTAATTAGAGTTTTTGATATTTAAAAAATATTTTATTTTTATTTTATTTTAATTTGCTCTTCTTCTCCTTTCTCTCCAAATGTTATGTTTTAATTGTTATTGTTAATTTGAATAACTTTACTACATGATTTAGATTATATATTTTATCTAAATTTTTGCTTGCTGTAATTGATTGATATAGCATCATAAAAATAATTTGACTTAACTTAGATAATTATTCATACTTTATTTTTGGTGTAGCTAACTTAGAAAAATTGTTAAGTTATGAGTTAAAAGAAACTTTAATTAATCCATAATTTAATTTTTTGTTTAATCTTTGGATGATAATTTGATAAATATATAATAAAATCAGAATAATAAAGTTAAATAAATTTAATTTAATTTTTTAAATGAAAAAGATTAAGTTTAGATGATTAATTGTAATTGATTGCGCTGACTATGCTTGGTGATTTTTTCTATTGAACTTCCTTTGATTATTTAATTTTAATTTATTTTTTTAATTAATATTGTAATTAAAAATCCCCCACTATTTAGTTTTTCATAATTTTAATTCAAATAGTTAATCTATCGAATTTTAAAAAGATGACCTATATTGTGTTTTGCTACAAAATTTAATTTTTTATAATTTTAATATATTTGACAGCAGTATAAAAAAATTTTGGTACCAATATTAATTTAGTATTAATTTTTTTATGAGATCCTTACTTATCATTGTTCTTTAAATTTATATAAATTTCCACTTACATTTGTCCAAAATTTTAACAAGTTTTCACTATTATCCATGAAATTGATTAAATTATTGTTTTACCATCTTGATCTCACCACTTTATTGATATTAAGGGAGGAGAAAGTTAAAATAACAAATAACAAAGGGCCAAAAAAATAATAAATATTGGGAACAGATGGAAAATATAATAAGCATCAAGCAACCCTCCCCTAAAAAGTTTCCTACATATACTCCCTCCATTCTAAACACAGTAAGACCCTTCTGAGAAATTTGACTTAGTCCTTTGTATAAGAACCTATCCATAATCAATCTGTTTCTTACATCAAATGCTTTGGTTTTTTTTTTTAACAAAATACTCTTAATTAAGGCTCAATTTTAATTCCACAAAGAAAAAGCTCAAGAAAAAAGCTCAAGTTTTATGGTGAAAAAATCATTATGAGTCTAATTTAACTATTTTTAATATAGAATGATTAATTTTTTATCATAATCAATTAATTAAAAAAGACCTTTTATTTATAATCTTATTTATAAGTTACTTTCATTATTTTTTTCAAGAAAATCTAAAAACTCATTAGAAAAATCCTTGATTGTGCAATTTTATTGGACAGAGCATGAATAATGTGATACAATCGGGTCCATGTGAAAATTTCTCAACTAATTAATCATGTCTAAAAACTAAAATAAGTTCTAAACTTTACTCCAATTATATATGCTCAACATATTTTAGTAACATACTTTTTTGCTCCAACATTTAATGGGACAAAAGAGAAAACTATGATAAATAATTAATGACATGATTTATAAATACGATCAAAATAATTTTTCTCTCTCTATGTTATAAATTTTTATGAATAAAATAACAAGGAATATAAAAAAAAGAAGGGAGTATATAGGAACATTTAGTTGGAATTTGGAAAAGTGATGGTGGAATCCAGGAGAATTCCAAATTCTTGGGGAAGAGGGCTTTTATTAAGTGGGGAAATTCAGGGAAGGCACCAAACATTGCTCCTTAGTGCCTGTCTCCATCACTGAATCATTCTTTTCAGTCTGCCTCCCCATTTCCTCCCTTATTCTTATTCTAACCTATGACTTTCCACATTCTTAGCCGCCACATCATAAACCTTCCCCAATAATACAACCCAGTTCGTGTTTGCATGTATATATATGTAAGAAAATTCGGTCAACCTACATGTTAAACTATTAAATGATATTTTGATTGATATTTGATTGATTTAATAAAATGATCAGTTCATGATTGGTTTATCCTGGTTTGATTATCATTTTAATCATTAACCCCTTGAATTATATCTTAATTGATTTAATAACCATATTCCAATTATTAGTAGCTTTGTGTATATGTAAACACAGCGAACTCATATAGAAATGAGGATGAACAAGTGTCCCCACTCAACTTTAAAAAATTTATGAATAGATGGAATTTAAAAAAAAAAATTGTCCCCATTTCCCCAATATTTTAAACAAGTTCAAAAAAAATTTTGGTTTTTATATTTACTTAAATTTAATATATTTTCAATTTTGGATTTATTATATTTAATTTAAATTATTTTTATGAAAATATCATTTTAATTTTTATTTTCTAACATCATTTTACAAGAATAAATATTTATTATATAATTAAATTATTTTATTATTTTTTACACTTTATATAATTATACCCCTAGCTTTCTTCACCTTCATGTGTTATAACAGGACCTTTCCGTGTGAACTTTTCCAGCCCCATTCCTGGTGTCTCTCTCTAGTCAAACTTTCTGTTTGTTTTCCACGGAAAATGACAGCTTTTGAAAAGTTTTTCAACATCCCAATGCTGGGGATTAATAGGTAATTCAATCAAGACCACGTTTCGTGACCCAAAATGACAATTCAACCCGTTCAAATAAGAAAAACATGAGAAGAATCTCATCTAATTACACCACCAAGAGTTGAGAATTCACAATAGTAAAATGATAGAGCAGATGAACTGATATATGTACAAATAGTGTTTGACACTTGAATTGAAACACCACCACATATTCTCCCTCAATGACTGGGCCCCAGAGTGACCATTAGAAACGAATTTACAAAGGCATTTTCTCTCGTAAGCTTCACCTCCATCCCCTTGTTTGATCTCATTTTCCCTACACCCTCTAAAACTAACAGTTTCACTTCCTCTAGGGTTTCTCTGACTCAGTTTTGCATATCTTCAGGCTTTTACTGTACAAGGCCATGGCTAGAATAAATTCTCTTTCTGTAAGCAGACTTTACCTAACATGCAATTCTTAAGCAGCAAAACTGGTCGCTCAGATTGGTATCAACTAAATTTCTGATTATCTGATAAGCCTCCAATGTTGTGAATTTTAGAGGATCCTGATCCAGGATGTGGTGTTACATAGGCACTGCCTACTTGAGATTTTGAGAATGCCTCATATCCTCAAGAGTAGGACTTAACTAAGCCAAAGTTAGCAAATGACTTGGACTTGAAGAGGCCACCAAAGAGGAACCTTGTGGGGGAATCCTGAACCGGTGGTTTCGGCTCCGAAGGTAGGCCCTTAACTTTAAGGATGCTGTCTCCTATTGTTTGGCGAATCGACTCTAAGGTCTTGGAATCAACAGGACATCCTGAGGTTCCTCGAACATAGAAGGTATTCACAGCTTTGCCACCTTTTGTGGTCACTTCTGCTCTTGTAACCGTGAGGCTGTTCTCCCTGAAGATTCGGGTTACATCAGATAGTAACCCGACCCTGTCATCGGTGCAGAGCTCTAGCTTCAAGTCCTAAATGAAGAGGAAAAAAACAAATCAGGGGTCTAAGAAACTAGATGTGACAAGAAAAAAGAGAAACATGCCAAAGATGCCTACTTGTAGTTTGTTTAGAATAATGAAGAATGCCTTGTTTAAAGGGCAGAAGACTTGGTGACCAAAACATAAATATAGAAGAATCCAACAAAGGACAAACAGGTCACAATTATACAACTGAACAGATAAGGAAACAGATAAAGAGGACAAAACTCTAACTTCACTTCCGTCTGCTATTAGGCTTTTGCAATAGAATTGTATAATGACCAGGAATTTTTTTTTTTTTTAAGGAGCCAAAAATGTATTTTTCAGTCGTGTTCCAGATGCTAGTTTTTATTGAAAAGTCTGATAATAAGAGAACTATCTCCAAGTTTTTCTTGTTCCCAAAAGAAAGTGGTTTCTAATATAGACTTCACAAGAAATCACTTCAGGCCATGGCAATTAATGTTCAACAACTCCAATTCAACCACAATTGAGTTTTATAACAAAAATAAAGCAGGCAATCACAAAATCTCATACGTAGTGATATAAACTGACAAGCCAATCACCTCAGATGCTCGTCTCTCGATTGCAGCTTCAAGACATTGCATAACTCTTTGCCTTTCTGCATCTGATTTCACAGGGGACCCATCTACATGTCTGATATAGTACTCCTGCAGATACAACAACCATAAAACTGTGAGCCAAATTCTTAGTGAAGCCAATTAAGCTTCACAGCGAAAATGAGTTACCTGATATGCTTCGGGCCCCTCGGCATCTATATTAGCATGGAAAACTACATACTGCATGTCTGTCAGAGTACAAACTGCGTCGAAGAGAAGCTTTGGCCTATCCTTGGATTGGATAGTAACTACAGAATAATCCTTGTCTGACCAATGAACAACATTCACATTTGGTCTTTGCTTCTCATCAAACCCAATGTTGCTGTTGCTGCTATCATCAGCTCGTTCATAGTCCCTATCAGCAAACATCATCTGGTGAAGTCTTCGCTCGGTATGGGTAACTTCATCAGTGACCTCAGTCTTAGCACTTCTGTTCCTATTCCCACCACAAAGCACATTGCAGAGAAGCTCCTTCACCAGGTTTAGCTTCTCCGGGTCATTAATGGCAGACCCGGTTTCCTCATCATTAACATGCACAACAGCTGCTGCTCTGGTATTATGAGTCCAGATTTCTGCATTCACTATATTGCATTTGAGATCGGTCAGAACCGCACTCACTTCTGAAAGCAATCCTGGCCTATCAGTTCCCATTAGCTCTATTGTAGTGTACTCCGTTGATTGCTTAACCCCAACAGATCTCATGGATGGAAAGCATGATTCAGGTCCAAGGGACTAATGTTTAATTGAAGCAAGGCAAGAACTAGTCAGTGGGCAAGACAATGTAAAAACAGAGAAAGTGATGAAAAACAAGACTGAAACGAACTAACTTTTCGAATATAATCCAGAATAGCTTCATCTGTGACCTTGTTTCCATGTTGGTCAGTGACATTAAAAAACTGGTAAAGAGGAAAATAAATATTCAGATTCTTTTTGGGGGGAACAAAGTTAAGGGGTATGATCATCTATCATGTATGTAATAAAAGAAAGATCATTACCATCCATGAACCATCCACCATCAGAAGATATGTAAGCCTTAGTTATGATAAGGTTTAGATCAGTGAGGACCTGCACAACTTCAAGAAGTATTCCGTGCTTGTTTGCACTATCAACCTGAAAATTAAAAGACTTCATAAGGGAAATTTCACGATCACAGAAATTAAAAGTATCAAGAGGTGAAGAAGAAAAGGAAATGGCTATATACCCTTATAACAGTAGTATTCTGGCTGGCTTCATTATCAATTACAACCCTGACAAGACAAGCGTACAACAAGGATGTGAGGACGAAACCATCGAAACCAAAAGGTTTCTTCTTCTTTTTTCTTCTATTTTTCTTTCATCAAATTCCATGGAAACAAATGTTCGTACCTGGGAGGGTTCATTCTTCTGAAGAGTTTCTCATATTCATCATCCATATAGTGAGAGAAACTTGTGTTGACCTCGACATAAAAGCTATGAAAAGAAATAAGAACCAATCAGAGGAGAGAAAATAGAAACACAGGCACGCAAGTTCCCCAGCCAATGAAAAGAAAAAGTTTAAGAGAAGCTCATAATATTATTATAGTACAAAGCAGAAAGGGCAAAAAAAAAAAAAAAACCTCTTTTGGAAATTCTCTCGTAAATAATAAAGCAGAAGGGGGCGAATGAAAGAGAAGTGACCAATCGTAAAGTGCTGGAGAAAAAAAAAAAACACAGAGAATAACCGTGTAAAGAAGAAAACCAGAGAGCCCCAAAAAACCAAAAAAAATAGAAGGGCAGCTGGCTGCTAGATACCAGTAAAGCCTTGTGGCGCGCTTATCTGTTAATAGACTCGAAAAGAAGGAATCCTCAAACAGAACCCATTAGGCCACCAACACCCAAAAAAAAAAAAAAATCGAAGGGCTAATTCAACAACAGCAAGAAGAAGAAGAACCTAAGATTACCAACAAAGAAAGTTTAACAAACAGGACCTTAGATTCATGTCACCTAATTGAGGACATAACAGAAACAGATGAAATCGGAAAAACAAAAAAACAAACCAGAACCCGTATCCCAATTCGTCCGGCTAAGCGAACAGAAATATTTAACAGAACCCAGAAAGAAGAGAAACAGAAAGACAATAGAAAACAATGGACGCCCAAAACCGAAAAACGGAGAGAAAATCTAAGAACAGAGCGCGAGAAACTAAACAAGGGGCAGAGAAAAACCAAAGAAAAGTAGAAACCGTGACCTACCCATTGGAGTTCCTGCGGATTCTTGATCTGCTAAACCAAAGTTTTCTCGGTTCTCTCAAAGGAAGAAGAAGGGAAGAGACCTTCTTGGTGTTAGTATAATACCAAGAAGCAATAGTATATGTATATTTATAAACGCAGCCAAAGAGATCTCACAGGACACAACACACCCCGCCTCACCTTGATCTCCTCTTCCAACTTCGAAAGAAATATTTATAATAATAATAATGATATTTATATAATGATAATATTATTCTTTTTGCCTAAAAGAAGTTGATCTGAAACTGAAAGACAACCCAATCCCTTCTCTGTCACTATACCTCGTTCTCTTTCTTTCTCCCTGTCTCGTGTGTTTGCTCTTCCTGGTGATGTCTCTCTCTCTCTCTATAACCCTCTCTCTCAAAATTCCCATTTCCGTGACTCCCCAGAGCACAGCGTATTTAATTACTCCAAAAAGAAAGTTCCTCCAAATCCCAGAGGCTAAAGAAAAAGAACAAGCAGGGACAGCAAATGTGAACTATAGACTCTAGGATCCATCAGCGCATTTAGCAAAATGCGGCTTTTATATCCCCGAAAGGGTATGGCTTGTGCTAAAATACGCCGTGGGCTTTGGATGCGGGGGAATCGTTTTAGCACGTGTCTTAAATGGAGTACATGGAAGGAGAAGAATACCATTCTTAAATTCCAAGGTCTGTGGAAGTAGATCCCCTGGCATTGTCACAAATAGAACGATGGTTAATTTTTTAAAAAAAATTTAATCATTAATATATTAATCAATCATTAGTATATGTTATAAAATTATAAAAAATTACATTATGACTAAGTTATAAATAACATGATTTACCTGCCATATTTTATGAAATGTATGAATAATTTTTTTTTTAATTTACATCGTTCTCGTGTTAAATTTCTTTGGGTAATTTGCAAAATATGCTGTGAAGAAAAATTAGATATATTGTTCTATATGTATATTTTTTAGGTGGGCTCTGTTGTTAATTATTTTTGAATAATGCATTTTTTATACATTTGTATATATATTAATTCTGAACTTAGGATAACTAAGCTAGTTAAATTTTTTAAAAGAATGTTTATATTATATTTTGATTTGATGCTTTCCTAACTAAGTAACTTGTAAAAAAAATGGAAAACATAAATGACGAAATTAAATATATGCTCAGCACACGCGCGCGCACACATATATATATATAGATGAATTCAAATAAATGGACTTTATGTGCTTAATTAATGCACACACCAATTTAACAAGAAAGAAAAGTAGACATTTATAACATCAATTTGACTTATATGAAGAAAAAAAAAACTTGACATTTCTTCAATGAATCATAAAGAACTATAAGTGGATTACATGATTATAATTTAATCCCTGAACTTTAATTCAATATAACTCATTAATTATAATTTATCTCAATTTCAACTTGATTAGTCCCAAAATTTTGATTTGATACAACTCAATTATTATATTTTAAGTTATTTAAAATATTAGTTTCTAATTATTAAAAAATAACTTTAGCTCTTATTATTTTATTTTCTAAAATATAGCAATAACTAACATTTTAAATGATTAAAACTAGAGAGATTGTATTGTACAAAATAAAAGTTTAAAGATTGAGTTACAACTAAATTAAAAATATAAAGATGAAACAATTAATTTTTTATTTATGATTCAATATTGATCCAAAACTTTTTATAAATTTTAAATGATATATATATATATATATATATATATTGATTTAGAACTTTGTAACTCAGCTAATTTAAATTTTTCGTAAGAAGGTTTGTATTATATTTTGATATCCTTTCATCCAATTAAGAATTTTACTAAAAAAATTATTGAAAATAAACAAATGTAAACCAAATTATTTGATTTACATTATACTAAACACCAACTATTGAAAAAGATTCTACACTTTACGAAACACGCCAAACAAGTTATTTTGTTTTTCAGGAGTATGCTCACACCAATTAATTAGTTGCCACAAAATAAAGAATCAAACCATGTTTAAATACAAAGTTAATCAACATCCTAAACTCTAAAATATTATGCAAATAGTATGTTAAACTTAAACTTTTAAAATACGTAAAAACTCTCATCAATGTTTATTTCAAGTACATAAAACCCTGCCTTTAAGTTGAAAAAAAATATATGTTACTTTTATAGTTATGAGGCTCAGTCGCAAGTTAATACAACATTCATTTTAACTTTAAAAATAACAGTTGTTTTTTACAACTTAATGATGGGGTTTCAGACACTCAAAATTTTGAAGTTGAAGATAGTGTTTATATATTTTAAGAGTTTAGAATTCAAGATGTTATTCACATAATAATCTCTAGTCTAGAATTCTTATTAAACCTTTAATATAACCGACAAGGTTGTTTCTTATGCAAAAGCCACAAATGATTTCATTATATATATATATATATAACAAAAATCATATATTCATAAAAATTTGTTTAGTATGAGAAAGTAAAATATTTTTTCATGCATCAAATGAAATTTGAGTTGAGTCACATTATTCATCTTATAATTAAGTAATGAAAAAATTCTTAGATAGACTGATTAAGCCACATTATTTGTATTCTATCCAATGAAAATGTCTCTAGTCATCTAAATAAAATATTCTGTGATAGAGAAATTCTTAGGTAAACTAAATGTTCCACATCATTTGTGATCTTTTCAATTAGAATACCATAAGTCATCTAAGTAAAATATTATGCAATGTTATTTTAATTAATTTTATTTTAATAACAGAATGTATATTTAATTTATTGTTTTTTCTTTATCTATTATCATTAATGTCTGAATCAATTTACATTTAACATCATCTAAATATCATGTTTTTATTGGATAGGAAAAAAAATGATATGGCATACCCAATTTGCCTAAGAATTTTTCTTATGTGACATTATTTTAATTAATTTTATTCTTATAATAAAATGCATATTTAATTTCTTACATTCTCTCTCTACTATCATTAATATCAAAATTAATTTATATTTAATGACATTTGAATGTCATATTTTTATTGAACAAACTATAAATATCATGGCTTGCCCAGTCTAACTAAAAATTTCTCTAGATGATAGGGTATTCTATCAATTTTTTATGATATATTGATTTAGAACATAAGTAAGTGAGAGCTAACCTATTTATTTTTCACTAACTTTTTTGTATTAGAACTTGATGCTTTCTTCCAATCAATAAATAAACTTACAAATTTTATTCAAAATGATAAAATACATGCCAACAACAAGAAAATGAAATAACCTAAAAAGATAAGCAATCACACCTCTTTTGAAATTTTCTAAAACTTCAAAATTAGAGAGACCTCTTTCATTTACAATAAAGGATGAGAATAATATTTTATTTTATGTTTTTTTAAATCCTCTCTCAAGTGTATGCTAACACAGTCACACCTCTTTTGAAGGAAAACAAATCTCACTTGAAAGTTGAAACTATTGAATATCTATCCTTAATAATAGTACTCTCTTTATTTAAAACTGTAAGACATTTTTAATCGAATCACATTCATCAATAAAGTAGTTAATTATTTTTTAACTAACTTTATTTTTCTATATCTATCCCTATTTTAATAGGGTGTTTCACTCTAAAATGAATGTAAAATAATTTATTAAATAGGGACACTTTAAAAAAAATAATTACACTTTAAAAAATTAAAAATACTTTATATTTTTCAAAAGAGGGAGTAATTATTTACAATTTTTAAGTGTAGAAATTATAGAGAGAATAAAGGTCTAAGAAAATTAAATAGTCATGGATCATAATGATATTCAATTTAAGGACAACAAAAAATCTAGTTCTTAGATCACTGGCTTGATCTTTCCAATCAATAATTCGATCGTTTCTTTCAGATAGTCCGTTAAACTAATTATTTAAGAAACCGATAAAAATGACAGAAAAATGACTCATCAAATGAGAATGGTTCATTAAACTCTCGACCAACTAAACTGAAACGTAAGCTAAATTATTTGATTCAAGAGGAACACCTAGTAATT